GACAAAAACAACGACACTATTGCTTATTTAAATCAATCTTATATATGTATATATGTACATATATGAAAAAAATATATAAGACACAAACATGCAATTCTATTTTTTAATCAATAAATATGCTCAGAGTATTTTTTGTGTAAACAATAATAAAGAAGTCTGGATCACAAGACAGTGAAAATGTTGAGTAACAGCGGTACATTGCTGTGAATTTCGTGCTAAAGATGATTTAAACAGGATAATCTGTATTCACTTAAGACCCACAGTTTAAGTACATGTGCATATTTATCTTTTGTTAGCTTTATGGTAATTTTCATTGCTGTATAGTTCTTCAGTTGTGAAGTTTTTGTAATCTGGTTCATCTCCCACTGGATCATCAAAGTGGTTCAAGGCACTTTGCTGTTTGAAGGTCAGCACAAATTCTTGATTTCCATAAATCTAAAGAATCAACGAAAATAATCAGAGGCTAAGGAACCACACATGCTGCAGAGAATCTGGTTGCTGTATATGGTTATACACAGGCTCGTATAATAATGTCTACTCTTATTACAACAATTATAATAAAAATATTTTAAATGCAGACGTTTTACAGATGACAAATATTGACTGAACCACAGAAGTTACAAATTGTAAAACTGGATGACTCCCACACATCATAGCACGACTATAAAATCCATTAATTTGCAGTTATTGCCACATTATGCTAAAGAAGCATAAAACAGGCTGCGTGAGCTTTTCTGTTAAATTTTCATGTTTCTGTTCTAAACATCACAGTCGTCGACACCACTCTATAACATTTATTTTGATCACTAAGTCATTTTCAGTTTAAAAGACTCCTTCTGTGCAAGCTCTCCTCAGGCGTCCCTGAGATAACAAGTTTATTAGTCCAAACCAAATTAGACTAATAACCAGTTAGCTGGTCGATGTCTCAGTTTAATACCAATAATCTTGTTCTAAAGTTCAGACTGCTTAAAGATTTCAGACATATTTCCAAAGAAATGAACACAATTTCCAATTCCAGTTTTAGCTATTCAAACATCAGCTTGCTACTGTGTTCACTGTGACAAGAATATAAAATATAACATTTAAAAAATTTAAGTTGTGCCACTCTATAAAACACGTGTGTGTGTGTGTGTGTGTGTGTGTGTGTGTGTGTGTGTGTGTGTGTGTGTGTGTGTGTGTGTATATATATATTCATGCTTTGGACTTACTTCGCCTTCTTCTGCATCTATCACGTCTTCTGCTTTCGGTGTATTTCTGTCCATGACAGCTTCAGTTTCTGAAAACTCAGTGTAAGAATTTTTTAAGCTCTTTTTGCATGCACATTTGAGTATTTTGTCTGAATATGTGTGTAAATATAAACTATAGCATACCTCTCACGTTGTAACATTTGTACTTATAAATAATAACTAGGACACATATTAGTAAAACCACAGGGACAACAGCGTAAACTGCGTAGTGCACCGCTTCTGAAAAACAGAAACAGCAGAACAGAATAGAAAGTTCCTTTTTTAAATTAAAGTAATATGTATTTTAACAGAACTGTTGATCACAGGTGCAAACTTCCACAGCTGTTTTGACACTTAAGAGCATATCCGGTCTTTAAGTCTGATTCTATTAGTGGTTTCCGGGTCCAAACTCTGCTTCAGGTCACAAGGTTTAAGGAACGCTGGGACATCACTGAGAGTTAATAACTGTCTAAATTCTTCCATCTTTAATAAAATGATCAGTGTGGCTGCTCTACCAGGTGTAACAATTCAGTTTAACGTCCAGGCATTCATAAAAACACAATTTATGAAGTTATATGGAGTTTGAAGTTAGCAGGGATTTAGCTCGCTAGTTTCCACCCAAGCATAATATATAATGCTCTGACCGAGGGATTTAAAACGTACAGCTCTGCTATCACTTCCATTATAAACGAAGACAAAAAATTAAACCGTAGTGACGTTTGTAGGGTTACTGAAGTTAGGTTACCTGGTATATAATGATGTGCTACGTGGTGGCTAGCTACGCAGCTATGGTTAGCATAATATAAACAGTAGCACAGTGAAGCTGGAGGATTAACGCTAACTTTTTTCCATTCGGTAACCGTTAGCATGAGGGTTCCCGATGGTTAGGGACAAATGCAATCACATGGCAGGATGCTATAAACGGACCAAACTTCAGTCAGGAGAACAACTGAGATAATCCATCCACAATATGAGGTTAGTCATTAATATACTGCTGCATGGACTGGGCTGTAGTTACGTAAGGTAAGGTATAAGAGGTTAATTCAATTTTATTTTATTTATATAGCGCCAAATCACAACAACAGTTGCCTCAAGGCGCTTTATATTGTAAGTTAGACCCTACAATAATAGATACAAAGAAAAAAAAAACGACAATCATATGACACCCTATGAGCACTTTGGCAACAGTGGGAAGGAAAAACTCCCTTTTAACAGGAAGAAACCTCCAGCAGAACCAGGCTAGGGGGGGTGGGGGGTGGGGGGGACATCTGCTGCCACCGGTTGGGGTGAGAGGAGGAAGACAAGATAAAGACATGCTGTGGAAGAGAGACAGAGATTAATAACAAGTGTGAATCAGCAGAGAGGTCTATTAACACATGTTGAGTGAGAAAGGTGACTGAAAAGGAAACGCTTAATGTATCATGGAAATCCCCCAGCAGCCTACGTCTATTGTAGCATAATTAAAGGAGGATTCAGGGTCACCTGATCAAGCCCTAACTATATGCTTTAGCAAAAAAGAAAAGTTTTAAGCCTAATTTTAGAAGTAGAAATAGTGTCTGTCTCCCAAATCCAAACTGGAAGCTGGTTCCACAGAAGAGGGGCCTGAAAACTGAAGGGTCTCCCTCCCATTCTACTTTTAAATACTCTGGGAACAACAAGTAAGCCTGCAGTGCGAGAGCAAAGTGCTCTAATAGGGTGATATGGTACTATAAAGTCATTACGATAAGATGGGGCCCGATTATTTAAAACCTTGTATTAGAGGGGCAGGATTTTGAATTCAGTTCTGGATTTAACAGGGAGACAATGAAGGGAAGCCAAAATAGGAGAAATATGCTCTCTCTTTCTAGTCCCTGTCAATACTCTTGTTGCAGCATTTTGGATTAACTAAAGGCTTTTCAGAGAGAGCTTTAGAGCTTTTAAAGCTAAAAGCTCTAAAATGAATAGTAGTAATAAAAAATGAGAGAGGCCGACAGTGATCACTACCTTTTTTTAGGGGCTTGTTCAGATTAACTATAACAAGATATAAAGCATTAAAACATGTTTAAAAAAACAGCCTTAATAAATGCAGAGTAGTTTGGTCCTGGAAGCAGGGTTCATTATGTCATCACTTAAAGACCGGATTGACTTGGTTTAATCCCAGGGGGAATTATCTACATTGTAACCATGAAACTACACACATCCCCTAAAAATAACTAAATTTTTGTTGTAGTCACATAACAGCAACTCAGTGCTTTTAGATACGTGAGTATAGGTAAGACAACCAGCTGAAGTGCAAAGGTGTGATTTAAGTGACCAATGTCATGGTTTTTGGAGAGGCATAACCATTTTTAGGGGAAATAGAGAATCTTCTGAAAAAAGAGAAAATTTAACACATGCACACACACACACACACACACACACACACACACACACACACACACACACACACACACACACACACACTGAAGCCAGCAAAAGATTTGGGAAGTGATATGTCTAAGTATAAGTAAGTGGTGTTCTCAGTAGTCCTAATTTTGGCAGATTGCTTGCAAATTGTGTGACGCACGGTGCTGCTGGTTTTGCAATTATTTGATCATGTCAGATAACTAAACCATAAACCACAGTCCCATGTTTAGTGGGGTCCAAACAAAGATGGAACTTTCAGCTCTATTAATTTTGCTGTCATGTAAATGGTTGTTCACCTTACCCACTGACAGCTCAACCTTAGTGTAGTTTTCAACTCTCCACTGTGAGTCTGACCCACACCAGTATGTCCCAGCATCAGCTGTTTCCAGCTCTGCGATAATCACCAAGAAAAAGTGGGAAAAACCATCATCTTGCACTGTGAATCTGCTTTGACTCGTCACATTTGTACAATTGTTGCGGTGGTCTCCTTTGCAGAGAAACTTGCTATTATCATAATGTTGTGAAGGATAAGGGCACTGAAATGTTAGTGGATATCCTGCAGTCCCACTTGCTGTTTTTGACTTGACACAGCACCACTCTGTCAGATTGGAAAACAAAAAAATATTAAAGGATGATCAAATATCAAACCATATAAAAGAGTCCTTTAAAAAAACAAAAACAAAACAATGACATATGAGATATAACTATGACCTCTCACCTTTGACGTTCAGTTCAACAGCAGAAAAAACATCCAGGACAGAGTTTTTTTGGACACCACAGAGGTATGTTCCTGAATCACTTTGGGCCAAACTGGTGATGGTCATTGTGAATTTTCCTGACCTCTTATCATCATTAAATTTGATTCTACCATTTTGTTTGTTGTCAGAGGTGATTAGTGCCTGTTGCAGACACGTGGAGGACCGCTTTCCTCTGCAGATGTACTTGAGGTAGTTCTGGTACCGAGGCTCATACGAACAAATGATGTCCCCTGAATATCCCTCATAACTTTGGATTATGGTCACAGTGTTACAGCAGCTGTCTGTGAAAAACATAAATTGCAGTAGAAAATGTGTTATAACCACAGAGGAGAGGTATGATATTTCATATTGAGCCTATTGTTTATTGTATGTTTATTGTAATAACTTTCCTTCACAGACATTTGTGCACTCAGCCATCGCCCTATCCATTTGTTTTATGTGTGGTTATTACTGTTTCCTATTTATATGTGCAGTTCATTCCCTTTATGGGATCTTAATAAAGATCGATCCAGGCTGTCATATGTCATGTGCAGCCATGTTATAAAAGCAAGTCCAGTGGTCCCTCGTTTATCACGGGAGTTGCGTTCTAAAAATAACCCGCAATAGGTTAAATCCGCAAAGTAGCCAGCTTTATTTTTTACAAGTATTATAGATGTTATAAGGCTGTAAAAGTTTTCTAAGACAGGCATGAACATTTTCTCTCTTGTTTAAACACTCTCAAACTTCAAATTTTCATAGAAAAATAAGTCCAGTATTATAGAATGAAACCAAAGATTGGGTATCCTTGTTGGTCTTCAGACAACAATTCTGATGGCTAAAGAACCAAATGGGACAGGCAAAAAAAAAAAGAATGAAACCAAAGATCAAACCCTGTTTTCAGGTCCAGAACATGAGAATAGAGTAGCTGCCAGAGAATGCAACATTAATGAATCAATGGTAGGGAGTAGAGGAAGCAAGAAGAGTGAGTTGAGTAAAGTTTGACTTATCTGACTGTTTTGTTTCATTTAATGCACCTTCTGGTCCGAAAAATACGGTAACTTCTAACTTCTTTAGCATGTCCAGAAGTCAAATTTTTTGTGCGATGGTTAGCATCTTCCTCTGCCTCTTAGGTGCCTTTGATGGTGCAAAACGTTTCTTCGACATTGTTGTGTTTGTGGGGAAGAAAACTTACAAATATACAGTACAGCACTTCAGAGTCACACTGCTAGGGATCGAAGATTTATGTAAATTTGACAAGCTGGACACATTCTGCACTGTGCAGAAGACACGGCGTGGAGGAGGCTGATTGACAATGGTCTACAGCCGATCAGGGCGCAGAACACAATGCGCTGTTAAAAAATCCCCCCAAAAAACAAGCATGCAAAATTGCACAAAAAAAAATCAGTGAAACAGCGAGGCCGTGAAAGGTGAACCGCGTTATAGCGAGAGACCACTGTAATCCTTTACCAGTTATGTTTTGATTTACTGTACATTTATATGTATGTATATATGTCTTTTATATGTGATTTTTTTTCTTGACTACAAATTTGGAATGCTTTATTTACCTGGTGCTAATTTCAGCTTCACTTCAGTGTAGATATCTTGTCCCGTTCTGGTCACTCCACACCAGTATTTCCCAGCGTCCTCAGATGTAAGATCAGAGACGGTCACTGTGAAGGTTCGTGCCTTTTTGTCATCACAGGCTGAGTATTTGGGGTTTTTTTGTTGTGATGTTGTAATAAGAACATCATTGTCACCACAGACATCCTTACACAGGTACTTCTCATAAGACTCATAACCGTGACCATACGTGCAGGAAACATTTACCTTCCCCCCCACATATCCAGTCACAAGTATCACCCCTCCTGCACTGGTCACACATCCCAGAGCAACTGTAAAGTAAATTACAAAATTATAATTATTATAAAAAAATTATATAATTGTTTATTTTTTCATGTCAGCATTCATGAATAATAATACAATTCCTAAGGCCAATAAAGGGTGTGTTATTTTTTTTTAGCTCTTTAAACAACTTACTGCAGAGGGTGAAGAGCAGGTTTCGAAGTCTCCACATCTTCGCTTTGGCTCATCAAAACAGAAACTTGACAGGAAGTACTCTTAATACTAAGAAATAGTTTGCATGCAGTGGGGAAACCTATCAGCACAGAGGGGACTACACATTATTAGGTGGCTGCGTATTTTAAAACGTGTAAAATGGCTGACATGTGCCACCTTATGGTGAACACGTCTCATAAACAGCACTGTTCAGTTTAAAGTCTTGTGCTAAATAAAAATATTTAAATGTATTTATAAAACGTTGCTTATATAATCAAAACTAACATCACTGACTAAAAGCTCTGAGTGTTATATTGTATTATTATAACTTATTCATTAATATAAAACCAGCATTTTTCTTTTGTAATTAAAAACTTATCTGCTGATTTTTGTTCTCTTTTAATTAATTTCTTAGTTACTGTTTGGTCAATAAGCCAGGAATTTGTACAAGTACAACTGTCCCTGTATTTGGTAAAGCAGCTAACTAGTCCTATCAGATGATACTAATGTAGTAAAATGGATCAGTTTTAAGTTTAAAGTTATGAAAATACGAAAATAAATGCTGCAACTATGAACTTCGCTGCAGCACTTTACAATGCACCAATGTCGCGAACTTTCTTAACATACCCGTAAACACAAACTGTCAATTACTGAGTCAAGCGAACCCATACAATGAAGCCACTTAAGCCATTTTGTCGCAATAGCTTGGAAAGAAAAAATAAAACTGGCTGTTAACAGTTTTCATATGTTTCAAAATTACTAAGTAGAGATTGACAGACTATTCGTTTATTTTTCTATTATTGATAAAGTAACTTCTTAAGTATACGTAGTTGAAAAATACACCAATCCATTTTCTCTCTCTCTCCCTCTCACGCACACACAAACACACACTGAATACCAGTTAGAGTTGATGGGTGTGACAGGTGTGGTGACACCAAAACAGATGTCTTGACTGTGTTTTTCGTGTTGGAGCACAGTTGCTCAGGAAGTCTGTGTTTAAGTTTTGGTGAGTAAAAGGCTACTATTTTATTCGTCTGTTGTGTAGCAACAGGTGTGAGTTTGATCTGCATGGGTGATAGCATTGGCTGATAGCTTAAGTCAGTGTGTATGACTGAATATTACACATGTGATCAACATTTTCATGAATACAGAGATTATTCAGTCCCTCTCAGATAGATTATTATCAGTGTCTGCCTGTCATACTGCATCCATTTGGAATTATATTTAGCTTTCTGTTTTTATGCAGTGAGCACAAACCACAACAGATTTGTTCATTGATAAATTTTAGGTGACTTTCCCCTTTAGCAACTTGACACATCTGAATGTAGCGTGAAAACTGTGCTTTTATTTTTACATTTTAAAGTCTTCAGTCTCCCTTGTGATGTGCTTACCACGACTGCCATTTCCGAATTTCATGGAAAGATTTATCGAAAAAGAGGAACATGTTTATTTTTGTCATGTTTGTTTCTGTCTGGAAAGTCCAAAATGTTCACGCAAGAATATAGAATAAAGTTATTTTTGCTCTCACTAAAAGGTCCATAACCTATTATTTGATGTGATCCATCAAATCCTATGTTTAGTGTGTTTAACTGTAATTAGTGATTAAAAAAGGTTATAACATTAAGTATGGCATTTCTAAGAATATCAAAACATAAAAATTTAAGTTTTTCAATAAATATGCACGAATCTTAATACCTGTTAACAAGTTATGCAATCTGAAATCTTGTCTCAATTTCTGCAACACAATTACTGTATTTGGTGTTAAGCTAAAACAGCACCAGCAGAGGGCTCAGTGTGACACACTAAGCAGTGACACTAAAACTGTTTTTTGAAGTGGTTTCTGGCTTGTCTGAAAAAAAACCTACTACTCTTTTGCCCTCATTGGACAGTTATATGACATCTTATGAAGAATTGCACACTGATTGTTTGTTGTTTTTTTTTCTGTAAAATCGTATCCATTATCCAGCTCTATTTGCAACAAACAGAAAAAAGCATCATAAAATGAAAACTCCAAACTGTAACCTTTTATGTTTTACTGCTCTATTTAAATCCAAATACTTTGAATGACCAGAATGTAACAATGTTGCAGCTCAAATAAGGCAGAAACAGTTAAACATATTGTTGAACTTATTACTATATGAAACAACATTAGATTTCATTTTGCTTGCTTATTTATTTACTTTGCTCTCATGTTAGTAATTTAGTTTGAGTTTTTCCACAATGTCAGAAAAAACACTAAACAATAAAAATTAAGCTATAAAAACAAGTTAAGCTACACACGCATAAAGAGCTTTTCAGTGTGACAAAGAGAAGGCTGTACATTAAAATTTGTTGTTCAACAGTTAAAGAGAAATCAAACAAGTTAAAATCTATATAGGTGAAACCCACATTTTGACATGAAATGCATACTCTGTTTATCTTCTGTGGAAATTTTCATTACAGTAAACTTCTTTAGATGTTGTGAAGTTTTCATAGTCTGGTTCATCTTCACCTGCATCGTCATAGTTGTTACAGGCACTCTGTTGTTTGTACCTCACAACTTCTTCATTTCCGTAGATCTATTCAGAGACCAATGAACAACACATGATGTTATGTCATTTTTTAAAGCAAACATTTTTTAACAATTTGAATTCTGATAGAAAAATTACAAAAACAGATGACGCTTCAAATATTGCTGCAAATAAATTACATAGTTTAGTTTTAAGGTCAAAAGAATTTTAAAAATCTCAAATTAGATGCTTTTCACACATTGTAAGCTAAACCACACAGAAAGTGTAAAGTGTGGCTCTCTAAGTGTAGCTTGTGGGCCAGTGGCTGTCCTCAATAACATTTCATGCTACCCCCAAATACCTCAATGAGCGAATGCGCTAACATAAATTTCTTTAGTCAACAGTTAATTTCACGCTACAGAAGTGCAAAACCAACCAAGGGAGAACTTCTCTTTTTTTCCCTCTTCTGTTTTAACATCTTAGCTAATTATATCTCCCTAAAACTGTTAAGTATTGCTGATCACTGGTTGTTCGCTTACTCACTCACTAAGTTTGTCCAATCTGTCTATGTGGGTTAATTGGCACTCAGCCATCGTACAGTTTGAGAATTCCTGCCACAATTTCAAGATGAGCATCAAAGTTTTGTGTCATCTAATCACTATCATGCAGTTTCTTTATGGTAATGAAGAACAGATCGAAAAGCATTTAAGTGATGATGGTGATTTTGAATGTGATAACTTCCCATTTTATCATATATTAGTACTGAATAGTAACATTGTGGATGAATCTGAATGAAAGATTCAAACATCAGTTTGCTATCAGTAAAATAACAAAAAACCATGAATAATAAAAGCTGATTTGGTATATCGTGAAACTCTACCTGATCATTGTTGGGATTGGGATCATTATCATGCTGACAAATGACCTTTTGTTAGAATTATTTCCAGATGGTATTGAACGATAGATCAAAATCTGATGGTGATTTTCTGTGTTCATAATTCCATCAATGTTAATAAGATCCCAAAGACCACTTGTTTGAATTCAGCCCCAAACAACAACAGAGAGTACTGTTGTACTGTTCTCTCCGTACCTCCCCCGCACCTACTGATGACAGTTTGAAACACATTCATAATTTTCTTATAAAATTTATCATCCCATAAGACTTATAGTCACTAATTGTCAGTCCAGTTCTTGGATAATTTGGCATACCTCTGCCTTTTCTGTTTCCTTCGATTAAGAATGACTTCTTGACAGGCTCACCCCATGAGTTTGATGCATTTTTTATGCTTCTGTGATTCACGGTGGCTTAACGATAATATTAAAAACATTTACTGTGAAAATGGTCAGATAAAAGGATTGGACTGAGAAGGAGGGAAAATGCAGCCAGTGTCTGAGGAAGATTTTTTAAAGACTTTTAAGATTCAGAAAGCCCGAAGAACTTTCAAAAATTACAAGAAATGAGGGATAGCTCAAGACGTTTGCACAGTACTGTACTGAACTCATTTAAGAAAAATAAAACATTGCTTGTTTGTACATAGTGAGACTTGTCATAGATAGAGCACACTGTTAAGGCTTTGGACTTTAGTTTCCTTACGTTATTTTCTGCACCAGCCGTCACTTCCTCTAAACCTTCTTCGTTCTCTGCATTTCTGTTCATGACAGCTTTACCGTCTGAAAACACACAGCATAAAACATGGTTGTGTTCTTTTTGCATGCACATTTGAGTACATTTGCCCATAAAATATACCTTTTACTTTCTGATGTTTGCATTGATAAACTGTAACCACGAGGGCACATATCAGTAGCAGCAGCACAGCGGGCACAGCATAAACCACATACTGTCGTGCATCTGAAAAGCAGAAACCAAAACAGAACCCAGTAAAAGTACAGACTTCCTTTTTACACTAAGACAAGTTGAACTGTGGGCTCAGATGGTAGTTTTCTTTTTATATCTATTTTTTTTAATCTATTAATAAAACATAGACCCTCTGCTGTTTTGACACTCATTTTACCATGGTCTACATTCACTCCCAGGGGACTTGCTGAAACTGTACTCAAAAAACTATAACTATTTCCAATTGTAACCATAAAGTACGTTATCTCTCCAATAAGCTATCTCACATAACTGATCAACAGTACAGCACACACTAAAAGACACATTGTATACACTGTACCTTTATTAGGTCTATTTTGAGTTGTAGTTTTATTGTGTGTTGTAGTTTTTCCTGGAATTTCCATTGTGGAAGGTACAGTGCTGGTGTGCTGTGGAGACACTGTTGAAGAAAAAGACTTTCAATGTTCTTAGAAACTTCATCATAATACAATAATCTATTTTAAATTGAGTGAACAGTTTCAGAGAGATCCAGATTGGCTTTCACTCTTAAACTATTCACTTACCTGAAATCAGATTCTTTGTTTGTCAATTTATACATTAAAATAGTCAGTAGACCACTTAACATCTATGGTTTTATATTTAGATATATAGTTTGGTGGAACACTGATTAAAATGATTTAAATACAGAATATAAATATTTGGTTTTCCTGTTTTTTTTCCTCTCTGCTCTATGAACTTTAATAATTACCTTTAACATCCAGCATTCACTTTTAGCTCATATAACTAAGTACAGAATCAGAAATGGCATTGGAGTGTTTGTAAACTTTTATTAACCAGATAATCTTAGAAAATTTTTAACAAATAAGCTACATAAAGATTAAAAACTTCAAATGATAGTTTGGTGTTAGGGTAAAAATATGACTTCTAAAAAGTAGTTCACTCTGGTTGTGGTAAGTTGCTGGACTGCACCAACCTCTTGTTCTATGTTTGGCACTACATAAAAACTGAACAACCATGCACAGTCTATATTTACACACTGGGCTGCAAAAAAGCATGTTACTTACAGCTCTGGCCATTTTATTTTTGTGCACACAAGTATTCATCTCACCAACTGACAGCTGAATCTTAACATGGTTTCCAACTCTCCATTGTGAGTCTGACCCACACCAGTATGTCCCAGCATCATCCGCTTGTATCTTTGTGAACGTCACTGAGAAAGAGCTGGAATAAATATCATCTCCTAGTGTGAGTCTGCTTTCAATCATCGCCATGTCTCTGCAGCTGTTGCGGTGGTCTCCTTTACAGAGGAACTTCCTGTTATTGTGATTTTGTGAAGGATAAGGGCACTGCAGAGTTAATGGATGCCCTGCAGTACCTGTTACTTTAGTTGACTTGACGCAGCACCACTCTGCCAGATTGAAAGAGACAAATAATTTAAAGAGTTTCTTAAAGAGCCTTTTAGAAGAAATTGTTTCCTTTTTGTTAGTGTAATTATGTAATTATAACCTCACACCTTTGACCTTCAGCTCAACAGCAGAGAAAACATCCAGGTCAGAGTTTCTTTGGACACCACAGAGGTATGACCCTGAATCACTTTGAGTCAAATTGCTAATGGCCACTGTAAACTTTCTTAACATTTTTTCATCATCAAGTCTGAATCTTCGATTTTCTCTGTTGTTGGAGGTGATTAGTGCCTGCTGCAGACATGTGGAGGGCCGGTTTCCTCTGCAGATGTACTTGAAGTTGTTCTGATACTGAGAGTCATACGGACAACTGATGGACTCAGAGTATCCCTCATAACTTTGGACTTTGGTCACAGTGTCACAGCATCTGTCTGTCAAGAAGGTAAAGAGCATCAGAAAAGAAAAGAATAGAGAATAGAGATATGATATTTTATATTCAACATGCTGCAACAAGTACATTTTAAACAAACCAAACATAATTGCTACATTAGTTGTAGGAATGTCATAAAGACATAATGTCTTTACTAGGGATGGGTATTGATAAGATTTTCACGATTCCGATTCCATTTTCGATTCTGTTTAACGATTCGATTCTTTATCGATTCTTTTTAAAAAAGGAGAACACT